ATAAATACAGTAAAATAAAAAATTATTACTATTCAGTGTTTTATATGACTCTTTGATAGCTATATTATTTTATTCAGTGAATTCTAAGCATTTGATTTTGAAGTCATTTTTGGAAAAAACCAGGGTATTTTTCCAGATTTTTGCCAATTTAAAAATGGCCACATCCGTACAGGATGATTTACTGGCAAAAGTAATATTTGGCAAATTTGCCTCTGGAAAGTAATTGGCCAATTTTATATATTAACAATTTTGTGCCACATACTATTGAGCATGCTCAAATTAAAACAAAATGGTCGATTTTATATTGGTGATTTCTTCATAAAACTGCCAATTGCCAATATCAATTCTTTGCCAATAAATCATCTTGTAAGGTAACTTGAAAAATTGCCGTCGGAATTGACTCAAACTTTCTACACAGCATAGGGCATCAATATGTATCAAAAAATATAATGAAAATTTGTGATAATTTTGGAGCCATTTTCTAGAAAAAACCATGGGCTATAGTACAGGGTATTTTCTGGATTTTAATCAATTTTTAAAATGGCCATAACTTGAAAAACTGCATCTGGAATTGACTTAAACTTTCTACACAGCGTAAGGACATTAATATGCATTAGAAAATGTAATAAAAATTTGGGGTGATTTTGGAGCCATTTTTTAGAAAAACCATGGGCTATTATAGTACAGGGTATTTTCTAGATTTTAATCAATTTTTTTTAATGGCCATAACTTGAAAAATTGTAGTCGGAATTCACTCAAACTTTCTACACAGCATAAGGGCATCAATATGTATCAGAAAATATAATAAAAATTTGGCGTGATTTTGGAGCCACTTTTCAGAAAAAACCATGGGCTCTAGTACAGGGTGATTTCTAGATTTTGATCATTTTTTAAAAATGGCTGTAACTTGAAAAATTGCAGTCGGAATTGACTCAAACTTTTTACATAGCATAAGGACATCAATATGTATCAGAAAATATAATAAAAATTTGGGGTGATTTTGGAGCCATTTTTTAGAAAAAACCATGGGCTATAGTACAGGGTATTTTTTAGATTTTGGTCAATTTTTAAAAATGGTTGTAATTTGAAAAATTGCAGTCGGAAGTGACTCAAACTTTCTACACAACATAAGGACATCAATTTGTATCAGAAAATGTAACAAAAATTTGGAGTGATTTCGGAGCCATTTTTCAGAAAAAACCATGGGCTATAGCCTTGGGTATTTTCTAGATTTTGATCAATTTTTAAAAATGACCATAACTTGAAAAATTGCAGTTGGAAATAACTCAAACTTTCTACACAGCATAAGGGCATCAATATGCATCAGAAAATGTAATAAAAATTTGAGGTAGTTTCGGAGCCATTTTTCAGAAAAAACCATGGGCTTATAGTACAGGCTAACTACTTTCCAGATTTTGATCAATTTTTTAAAATGGCCATAGCTTTAAAAAATGCAGTCGGAATTGACTCAAACTTTCTACACAGCATAAGGACCTGTACAGTATGAAAAGTATCGGAACCATGCATAGCCAAAATACAATAATACACACTATTGCTAATAATAACTTACTATTATATTATGTGTGACACTGAATATGTACACATTATTAGTGGCTACATCAAGACAATCATCATTAACAGCTCCTCCAAACATTATTCCTTTATTTCCATTTATTTTGTTGATTGTAAATTTACTAGTTGGAGGACAACACTGTCCACTGACAGATGGAACTGTGAATTCTCCTAAGAATAAATACAATTAAAAAATTCATGATTAAATTAATTATATTCACACACGCGCAACAAGACAACATAATTACTGTTCTGGCTATATTTATGTTAATATTGTCAATACATCCATCCATGCACACATGTATAATAGATGCAATGAAAAACTTTGGTCTTAATATTTTTCTAACAAAACTTTGGAAG